CCAGCCCGGACAGAGGAGAGAAAGGTGACAAAAGGACTGAACGAGAGGAGATAGGCTCTTCCCATCCAATGGATTCACTCCCCCAAAATGCCCGCTTAAGGCCCTGAGCTGAACTGGATCCAAAAGCCAGCGAGCGAGCAGGCTTCTTCTGGGATCTCCTACATGGGCCCATCTTCTGCTTTCCCCAGGCCATAGCAGAGAGTTGGACCAGAAGTGGAGCAGCAAGGACATGAATCGGCACCCATATGGGATGCCATTGCTGCAGGCCTCAGCTTTAACCCACTGCACCACCTCGCAGGCCCCCAGATTATTCTTAAACATATGAAATTATACTCAATCACTTTCATAAAAAAGAGAAATGTAAATTAAAGTTAGACTGACAAATAATTTCTCATCTGTTGCACTGACAAAAACACAAAAATATGAAATTTTATTCCATGGAGTGGAGGGAAAGCAGCTATGGGCTTCCATTGCTAGTGGAAGTACAAAATAGTATAATCCATTTAGAGGGAATCTGGCACTATTCAACAATTAATTACATATTTCATTGACTCATCAATTTTGCTACTAGGAATCTTTTCTAACAGTGCACAGGCATGAAAGGACGCAGGTACAGAGTTCTGCATCATGATATTGTTTGTAAGTAACTTTAAGTCCAGCAGGGGAGAAGTCTAATAAGCAATGCATAAAATAACATTTACTATGCATTTGTCAAAAAACTGAATATGTTCTTAATACAATAACTTTGGAAATCTTCAAATATATTTATTTTGAAAAAAACCATGATGTTTAGATGAATTGGAAGATGAATCTGGAACATTCATTTGTGATAGCAAGTAAGTACTCAAATGGTAATTGAAATAGGGAAAATGAATTTAGGGTTAGTCCAATTTGAAACATCATTGTTTTGAGTAAAATAAAATAATGCAATAATGGCATTTAACACATTATGTTAAAAGATCCATGAGACCAAAATGATATTAAATTTAAAAGTATGTATGGAAGAGGAAGCTCTTCTTATCGAGAATTTCAGCTAATTAATGTAGAAGGAACAGTAGAATGAAAAAAAGTTCTAATTTGCAATCCAAATGCAATAATTAAGACAGGGACTATCAATGGTTTATTGGATGAAAAGCCACAGGAAAAACATAAAAGTGGTAACATGATAAAGTTGGAAAATGGAAAATGTAGCCATCACTGTTCATATCTTCCCATTTTTTGTCTTGCCTTGAAATTCTTCAAAATAAAAGCTGAAAAATGTGTATTTAAAGCCATGGCTTTCATAGGGCTGACACTGTGGCATTGGAGGTAAAGCTCACACCTGCAGTGCTGGCATCCATATGGGCACCAGTTCAAGTCTCAGCTGCTCCACTTCCCATCCAGCTCCCTGCTAGTGCACCTACTATGGCCTAGGAAAGCAGTAAAGTCCTTGGGCCCCTGCACTCACTGGGAGACCTGGAAGAAGCTCCTAGCTCCTGGCTTTGGATCACCGCAGCTCCGGCTGTCGCAGCCAATTGGGGAGTGAACCAGCAGATGGAAGATCTCTCTCCCTCTCTGCCTCTCCTTCTGTGTAGTTCTGACTTTCAAGTAAATCTTAAAAAAAAAAAAAAATGAAACAACTGACAAATGTTAAGTGTGGGCTACAGACAACAGAACTGTACCTATTACAGTTAAGTCCCAGGTAGGGATGTACACATCACACACTGGATGTGCCTGGATCCCCATTCCCAGCTTCCTGCCAATAACACCGTGGAAAGCAGCAGATGATGGTTCAAGTAGTCAGGTCCCCTGCCACCCATGTCGAAGACCTGGATTAAATTCCAGGCTCCTGGTTTCAGCCTGGCCCAGCCCTAACTGTTGGGGGCATTTGGGGAGTGAACGAGTAGATGGAAGATCTCTCTGGCTGCCTCAAAAAAAATTAATCTCATAAGGTAGTTATACCATAGTTATGTAAGAGTCTTTTTTACTTAGAAAATATATACCCAGGGACTTGGGTAAAGGAAGACAATGGGGTCCAACCCACTCTCAAATGGTTCATGTGAAAACCACATGCAGGAAGTCAGAAAAAGACAAAGCTAAAAGGGTCATATGGAAACAGCTGGCGAAACTGGGTAAAGCACAGAATTTTGTTCCATTCCTGCAACTTCTGTAAATCTGCAATAATGTAAAAATCCAGTGTTACCCAAAAGCTCCAAGGATTGCTGACATCCTGCCGAAGCCAGGACACCCTGAAGCCACAAGGGCGTCACAAGCAACCCAGCAGCCTTGAAGAGGTGGGGGGAGATAATCTTCCCTGCCAGGCTGCGAGGGCACTCCCCCACCACCACCACTCTGAGGACCTCCATTTCAACAGGACTGTGGTGGGAAGAGCATCGCAACCCTTCAGTCAGTGGTAAGCACTGCAGGTAGCCTGATGACCACTCACACTGTTACACTAGTCAGTCAGTCGCCAAGCTGCCGAATCCAGCCGTCTGAGTCACCAGTGCAAATACTACAATCAGAGCATGTCGTCAGAGCCTAATGGGACTACAGGGGAAGCTGCCACTTTACCCTACACTAAGCAAGAAAAGCTGAAAATCCCTAAGTATTGATTGCAAAATATGATGAAAAACCTGTAAATAAAACTCAAATGTCGACATGAGAAAAACAGAGCCTATTTTAAAAGCAAAACACACACTTAAACCCATGACCCAGGCCAGTGACACCAGCATCCAATGAGCACCAGTTCTAATCCTGGATGCTCCACTTTCTGATCCAACTCCTTGCTAACGTGCCTGGGAAAGCAGTGGCAGATGGCCCAAGTCCTTGGGTTCTGGCTACCCATGGGGAGACCAGAGTTCCAGGCTCCTGGCTTTGGCCTCATTCAGTCCTGGCTGTTGCAGCTATTTGGTTGTAGCCATCTGGGGAGTGAATCAGCAGATAGAAGATTTCTTTCTCTCTCTCCTTTCCTCCCCCCCACCCCTCCCTGTGTGTGTGCATGTGTGTGTGTATATATATAAAATCTCCCTTTCCCCCCATAACTCTTTCAAATAAAAAAAATTTTAAAAATCTAGGGGCCAGCATTAAATCCATAGCCTGCAATGCTGCCATCCCATATGGGCACTGGCTGCTCCACTTCTGATCCAGCTCCCTGTTAATGTGCCTGGGAAAGCAGAAGAGAGCCCAAGTACTTGGGTCCCTGCACCTACATGGGAAACCCAGAAGCAGCTCTGGGATCCTAACTTTGGCCTGGCCCAGCCCCAGTTGTTGCAGCCACTTGGGTAATGAACCAGTGAATGGAAGATCTCTGTGTCTCCCTCTCACTCTAACTTTTAAATAAATTTTAAATTAACTTAAAAAAATAAAAATAAAAATCATGACCCAGGACTCCACACCAGTGAAATGAACCTTGTCCTGAAAACCTGCCTGAATGTGTAACAGTTCAATCTGTAATCCACATCAAAGTGGAAACAATCTAAATATCCTTCAACAGATGGGAGATAAAGGCGCACTTCCACGCAAAAGGCATAATATAGGGGTTAAAAGGAGCTGAACCCTGATGCATACAACATGGATAAAATTCAAAAAGTATTAGCCAAATGAAGACTTAAGGTTACATCATCACACTCTCCAAATGACAAGACAGTGATGGACAACAGAACAGAGGTTGCCAAGAGCCAAGGGAAAGTGGCTGACCACAAAGTTGTAGCAAGAAGTAGCTGTTTAGGATGATAGAGCCATTTGAACTTTGCCTGTAATAACAGCTACATCAAACCATACATGTGTTAAAATTCACAGGAATGTACCTCCCCATATATTTATTTTACTGCATGACATTTTCAAAAACTATTTGGAGTAGGCATTGTGGTAGAACAGGCTAAACTGTGGCTTGGGACACCAGCATCCCACAGCAGAGTGCCAGTTCAAGTCCTGGCTGCTCTGCTTCCCATCTAGCTTCCTGCTATTCTACCTGGGATGGCAGTGGGTAATTGTCCAGGCACTTGGGGCCCTGTCATCCACGTGGAAGACCCAGATGGGGTCCCCGGCTCCTGGCTTCATCCTGCCCCTGCCCTAGGTGTTGTGGGCATTTGGGGATTGAAACAGCAGATGGAGGTTCTCTCTCTCCCTCTCTCTCTCTGCCCCTGCAAACCCCCTCACGTCATCTCTACTTTTATTTCATTCTGCCTTTCAAATAACTAAAACTATTAAAGTCAAAATATAAAGTAGGGAGGAGAAAATAGCTTCTCTGTATCAGTTACCCAGATAATTCCCCTAACACATAAAGAAAATGACTTAGAAAAATACCAACAACCCAGGAAGAAAATTCATAAAAAGATACATACAGCTCAAAGGAGTAAACCAAGCGGCTGTGGTGTGTATGGAAATGTGGCCACCCAGGTGTCAGAGAAACACCAATGAAAGCACACCAAGATCATGCTTCCCCCGTATCAGCCCGTCAGTGATTTTAGACACTGGGCAAGACAACCCTGTAGAAGACACACAGAGCAGGAAGGCACTCCCTCCTACAGGGCCAGCAGGTGTGCCAATCAGGCCTGCCGGGTGATGACTGCGCTGGTAGACACAGACAGCTGTCCACTAACATCTATTCCTCTGGGCACCAAGAGTCATCACAGGCATAGACGTGCCCAGCTAGAGGATACACGCCCAGCCTCCTGTTCAGCCAGGTGTGCCCATCAGCCTAAGTTCTCCCACACAGAAGGGGAAGGGGAGCCCCGTGTGCCCATTCTGGCTCGGAGCCTTACAGCATTCAGCATGCGCTCCACTGGGAGGTCCCCCTTCCCGCTGACTGGACCAGGAATACCTGCAGCCCAGCTCCGATGACACGGGTGGGTGCCGACATCCCAGGGAATGGCATTTGGGTCCCAGATGGCTTCAGGAAGCCAATAACAAAAAAGCAACCTGATTAAGAAATAGGTAAAGGACTCCAATAGACTTCAAGTATACATCCCAGTGGCCATTAGGCACATGAGGCGATGTTCAGTGTTAAGATGATTAGGGAAATGCAAATCAAGCCCACAGTCAGATACTATTTCACATCCATTAGGAAAGCAATTAGAGAAACAGACAGGGGCCGGCACTGTGGTGCAGCAGGTTAAAGCCCTGGCCTGAAGCATCGGCATCCCATATGGGCACCGGTTCTAGTCCCGGCTGCTCCTCTTCCTATCCAGCTCTCTGCTATGGCCTGGGAAAGCAGTAGAACATGGCCCAAGTTCTTGGGCCCCTGCACCCACATGGGAGACCCAGAAAAAGCTCCTGGCTTTGGATGGGCGCAGTTCCAGCCGTTGTGTCCACTTGGGACGTGACTGGTGTGAACCAGTGGATGGAAGACCTCTGTCTCTACCTCTGTAACTTTCAAATAAATTAAATCTTAAATACACACACACACACACACACACACACAGAGACAGGGACTAGCATGTGGCACACCACGTTAAGCCCCTACTTGCAACACTGGCATCCCATTTCAGAGTGCTGGTTAGAGTCCCAGCTGTTCTGTTTCTGATCAGGCTCCCTAATGCAGCTGGGAAGGCAGCGGATGATGGCCTAAGTACTTGAGCCCCTGCTACCCATGTGGGAGACCCAGATGCAGCTCAGGGCTCCTGGCTTCAGCTTGGTCCAGTACTGGCTGTTGCAGTGAGTCAATAAGATACCTCCATTTCTAATATACACATAAATCAAATTTTTATTCAAAGCCACAGAAAAACAACTTGGTGAGAATGGAGAGATCAGAACCCATGCACTCCGCTTTTAGGACAGTGAGATGGTACAGCTGCTAAGGGGAAGAGGGACAGCAATTCCTCAAAGAGAATTACAAGTAGAATGACCATGCAACCTAGCAATTCCACTTCTGAGTATATTCACAAAAGAAATGAAAGAGGGCATAAACCTACGTGTTTTCCTCAGTGCATAACAGGGCTAAGCACAATAGTCCAAAGTAGAAGCAACCCAAGAGTCCCATCAACAGGTAAATGCCTGCACAAACTGGTATGAACACATACAGCCTTACAAGGCTATTCTGACATACGCCACGGCCCAGGGGAACCCTGAAGCCATTATGCAAAATGAAATAAGCCCGTTGCAAAGGGACAAGTAATGCAGGATTCCACTCAGAGAAAGCGGTGAAGGGACAGGAGCTGGGAGTTATTAATGGTCTCAGGGATGCAAGATGCAATCTATGGATGGATGATAGTGATGGGAGCCCAACAGTATGATGTATTCAGTATCACTGAATTTAAAATGATTAAGACAGTATATTTTGTTATGTGCACTTTAGCACAATAAAAATAAAGGGGTGGGCATGTGCTCAGCAGTTAACCACCACTTGGGATGCCTGCCCCTTATCAGAGTGCCAGAGATCAAGCCCCAGCTCAGGCTTGGCTCCGGATTCCAGCTTCCTGCTAATACACAATAATTCCTGAGTGCAGTGGCATTGACTCACCTGGGCTTCTGCCACCCATGTGGAGACCCGAGTTGAATTCCAAGCTCCCAGCTTCAGCTGGGCCCAGCCCTAGCCATTGCAGGCATTTGAGGAGTGAGCCAGTGAGTGAGAGCTCTATCTCTCTGCCTCAAATTCTTATTGCCAGGAGCCAGCGCTATGGCGTAGCAGGTAAGGCCTCCGCCTGCAGTGCCAGCATCCCATATAGGTGCTGGTGCAAGTCCCAGCTGCTCCACTTCCAATCCAGCTCTCTGCTATGGCCTGGGAAAGCAGCAGAGGATGGCCCAAGTCCTTGAGCCCCTGCACTCACATGGGAGACCTGGAAGAAGCTCCTGGCTCCTCGCTTCAGCTCGACCCAGCTCCAGCCGTTGCAGCCAATTAGGGAGTGAACCAGCAAATGGAAGACCTCTGACTCTCCTCTCTAGTTCTGACTTTCAAATAAGTAAATCTTTTAAAAAAAAAATTTATTGCCAGATGCTGTTCTCACTGTATCCATTGTTCCTTTGTTCAGTAATGCCTAACACAAATGCCTACTATGTGCCAGGCAGTAGAAAATGCAGATAAATACAATGCAAACTCCCTGCTGGAGAGGAATTGTGTACTAAAAGGTGGAAATCAACCTGAACACACAAGGCAAGCTGGCCCCAAGCAAGCCCCTTAACTACCAAAAGACCATTAAAAACACACCTTGGGTTTCCCAACACCACACCCCATTCAGAGGAAACACTTTAATAACCAGTTCTAGTAGAAGAGGAGCCCGAGACTTCAGGTTGTCTGAAAGTAAGAACTCCTAACAATGAGGCAGATCAGAAAGACACAAAAGCCATCTTGATGGAGCCCCCTACTGGCCAACCCTGGGACATTTCAGTAAGAAAAGTGCCTTAAGAAAAGAAATCCGCCATTAAAACACAGGAATTCCTAAATTCATAGTGACATCAAATAAATGCGGGAAAGAGCATGCTCTTGCTTATGGTAAAGTGCCAAGGGCTGACTGGGAAATGCACGGGAATTGAAAACAAAACTGTTATTTGCCACTACTGTGATAATAACTGGCTCAGACAAGAACCAGTCAGGAAGCTAAATCCATGGGCAAATACGGCTGAATGGCAGGATCTGTGCATGATCTCCACAGGACTCCCCACACTGCTCATCAGCTGGGAGGAAAAGGCAAAGAGCACCATGGTGGAACAAATACCTTGACTGGGGAGATTACAGTGGACCCAGTGAGGACGGGCAGATGCGTGCTTCCAGGTGGGCTGTCCCGAGGATGCAGAACCCAACTCTCCAGGCCAGGAGCCCGAAATCCAGACTACTCAGATTAGAAACAGGGTGCAGGTGACCAGCTACATAACATCCCTGGCCTTAGAAGTACAAACTGAATTTTACATTGCATGCACACAGCTGTCCTATGTGTAACCTATCCTGAACCGATTCAGGGGGGAAGAACTGGAGGGACAGCTGGGATGGGGAGACTGCATGCATTCAAAGGATAAGGGAAATGTTAATGAAGGTGAAGGGGAATAAGGGGGATACAAGTGTCCTTGGCAGTCGCTGTATCTCCCAATGCACTTGCACATTTAAAATCAAATGTCAGAAAGAGGACAATGCATTCCCAAGATGACTAATTTTCTTACAGATACCAACCAAGACTTGACTATCCAGAAGACTGAGATTACCGAGGCTAGTTCTTTCAGATCTTTTCAAATAGAGAGTTATATTGTAGAAGTCAGCTTAAAACTTACAGTTCAATACACGTAATCAGATCAAATCCAAGCAAACGCGAGTCTCTCTCCACTGCAGAGCCATGATACAAGGTAATGGTCAGATCCAGATCCCGTGGTTTGAGGAAATCTCCCATGAAAGGAGACAGCTGATCCCTGCAAAGCAATCATTGCCGGGGAGACACTGTGAACACAATCCACATGGAGATGCCCACATGCTACAATTTTTCTTCCAGAAACCTAGGGAGAAGGTAGTTTTCAGAAGTATGACACAGCCTGTTCGCTTTGTCAAAGTATTAAACACCTCACTGGGGCTGCCTCTGTGGCACAGGTTAGACTGCCACCTAGGACACCAGCGTCCTAGATGAGTACCAGTTCAAGTCCTAGTTGCTCCCCTTCTGATCCAGTTCCCTGCTAATGTACCTGGGAAAGCAGCAGAGAATGGGGCAAGTGCTTGGGCCCCTGCACCCACATTGGAGACCCAGATGAAGTTCCAGGCTCCTGCCTTCAGCCTGGCCCAGCCCCAGCCACTGCAAACATTTGGGATATGAACCAAATCAAAGCAGATCAAAGATGAAAGCTAGCACTCTAACTCTTTCAAATAGCTGAATCTTAAAACACAAACACACACACACACACACACACACACAAACTTGACATTGGGCAGTTTTCTCACAATGTAAAGTTACTTGCCAAGGAGTATTTGATATTGTTCATTAAAATTTTCAAAATAGGGGGACCTGGTGTTACAGTGCAGCAAGTTAAGCTGCCACCTGCACACTGGTATCTCATATGTGGGTTGGTTCCATTCCAGCTGCCCCACTTCCAATCTAGCTTCCTGCCAGTGTTCCTGGGAAAGCAGTGGGAGGTGGCCTAAGTCCTAGGGCCCCTGAGACCCATATGGGAGATTTTGATGGAGTTCCTGTCTCCTGGTTTTGGCCTGGCCCAGCCCTGGCCATTGCAGCCATTTGGCAGGTCAACCAGCAGATTAAAGATCTGTCTCTCCCACTCTAATTCTGCCTTTCTAATGAAAAAGTAATCAAATCTAAAAGTTTTTAACTAAAGAAATATTTACAGTGGCCAAAGGTAGACCAGGCCAAGAACCCATCGAGGTCTCCCACGTTGGTGTCCCGGGCCCATGTACTTCCATTGCATTCCCAGGTTCATTAGCATGGAGCTGAATGGGAAGCCAAGTGGCCAGGACTCAAACCCAGAACTCCGATACTAGTTGCCAGCATCACTTGTTTAACCAGCTACATTCCACAACACCATCCCCAATATTCTCACTTTTAATGCTTTTGGCTTGGAGCCAATGCTGTGGTGTAGCAGGTAAAGCCACCATCTGCAGGACTGGCATCCCATAAGGGCACTCTAGTTCTGGCTGCTCTACTTCCAATCCAGCTCTTTGCTATGGCCTGGGATACCAGTAGAAGATGGCCCAAGTCCTTGGGCTCCTGCACCCATGTGGGAGACCTAGAAGAAGCTCCTGGCTTTGGACTGACTCAGCTGTGGCCGCTACAGCCATTTGGGGAGTGGACCAACAGATGGAAGGCCTTTCTCTCCATCTCTCCCTCTCTGTAATTCTACCTCTCACATAAATAGATAAATCTTTTTACAAAGAAGATGCCAGGAGGCCTAGAGCTTTTGTCCAGCACTCTGGGGCCTCTTAAGTCCTCTACTAGAAATCACTTTACCTGGCATGCATGAGACTTTGCCACCTGAAACTGATTTTTCAATGCCTTGACTACTGGAATGACTAACTGGGGCTTTACATGTATAAGCAGGGAGACAAAATACAGGAATTGTGCACACAGTATACACTCAACGATAGCTATGGCAAAGCCTCATTCAGTGAGCTGGAGACTCCCCAGAGGTCTGAATATTTTAAAGCAAGCTCTACAAAACTGACCATTGGGGCCAGCACCATGGCTCACTTGGTTAATCCTCCGCCTGTGGCACCAGCATCCCATATGGGCGCCAGGTTCCAGTCCTGGCTGCTCCTCTTCCAGGCCAGCTCTCTGCTGTGGCCCAGGAGGGCAGTGGAGGGTGGCCTAAGTGCTTGGGCCCTGCACCCGCATCAGAGACCAGGAAGAAGCACCTGGCTCCTGGCTTTGGGTGGGCGCAGCGCCAGTCATGGCAGCCATTTGGGGAGTGAACCAACGGAAGAAAGACCTTTCTGTCTCTGTCTATAACTCTGTCAAAAAAAAAATAAGGTAACAAAACTGACCCTTTCTCCAAGTAGAATTCATACCACTGGTTTTAGATTAAGGCATGACGCTTGCACAAGTTAAGTCTTGGTTCCCAGTTGCACCACAGCATGACCAGGAGGCAGCAATGGAAACTGGCTGTGAGCAATGGAAACCAAGGGCTGAGCACATGGGGCACCAGGGCGTTAGTAACCATTCCTGCATGGACAGCTCGCCAAGTCACGCCAGACTTCCACAGGGAGAGACGCAGGCATCAATCTGTTCAACAGGGTGCAGCCCCATCACCCAATTCCCTTGCACTAGGCCCTCAGGAAGGGCCTTAAGGTTTCCTGCATCTCAACATGGCCACCCGGCAGACCAGGCTTCCCCCAGTGAACCTTTGGAGAATAAGCCGTAGCAAAGCCCTCACCCTGAGCCTTACCCTCTCCATCGTAACTTATCCTCATCAATGTCTACTCCAACAAGCTCTTCGATGCAGGGGTAGACTTTCAGCAGCCTTATGAGTGATGTATCCCCACATCCCAGGTCTGCAACCTGCAGAATGAGACACGGTGTTATTTCAACGGCACTGCTGGCCACGGAAGTGTGCGCCAAAGCTTTATTTGGGGAGGGGGACATTCATGGTAATAACAGAGCTGCTATCTGAAAGTAGCTTTTTGGCTGAAGAGTAGGAACAGGAAGCAAATTCATCTCAGAGTCCATAAGGCCTATGGGCAAGTAAGAACTTCCACCTGATCAAAGTCAGGTAGAAAGAGGCGCGCCTATTCCAGAATCACTGCTGTTGGCTGCATTTGACAGACACACAACCAGGTGTGCAGCCAGGTTTCCCACTCAGAACCACAAGCTGGACCCTTAAAAATTCTCAGCATCAGACTTCAGCAAGCAAAGCTTTATCAAATTTGCTTTCATTCATTTCTGACATGTGAAGACAGTCACTTCTTATTTGACACACCAATGACATCAAACCATATGAAATCCCATATTGGACTTTAAACTGCCAAAAAGGCAATTCTAGATGCTTCAACTGAATGTTCATGTCTGGATGGCTAAAGATGTTAAAAAAAAAAAAACCTGCACTCTGTGTGCATATACAAAAACACAATAGTGCAGCTGAAAAAAAGAACCCCTCACACAGTAATCTTTGGTCTTGAGCATCAGGCACAAATTAAAATCTAGATACTCACCTTCCCAACACCTAGGATACATCTAGAACATCCCATGCATTAGCACAGGAAGCAGATATGTTGTGTGAAATGGTGACTTTCCATTGAGGTGTTAGAGGCCCATTAACATCTAATTTCAAAACAAACAATTCTATGGCCATGGTACCAGTCTGCCTGATGCTCCGACTACTCTAGAAAGGCGAACCTGCATCCAACTGTACGTGTGAACCTGGCTGGCGACACTGAATGCTACCCGAGCCCTGCACTCCTCATAAATGGCTACAGGAAGTCACCTGTTCTTTGTGGGCCAGGAGTGGACTCACTGGAGAAAGCCCCTCCCCCACAGGCGTTAGATTAAGTCGCCAGCTGTCCATTCTTTGCCTCAAAAATCAGCACAACCATCTGTCCTCACTGATCAGCAAGACCAGAATTCCCGTGACTGTACTTCTTAGGCTGGCTTCAGGGGGGCGCCTACCAGCCTCTGATTCATCTACTTGCCAGCTTAGCTTCCTCTCTGTCAGAGGAAGACACCTGGCTCAACTCTTGAAGACACCTGTGGACTTTGCCCTCACAACATCACCATCCTTCTACTCCAACAATCCGTCTGAGAAGGTTTCTTACTAGTGTGCTTTATTTGACAAAACACTTCAAAAAACAATCTTAGCAATTCAGTGTTTGTGATGCCCTACCTTCTTGGGTTCATGCTGATCCACTATATCTTTAACAAACTGGTACCGCTGTCTGTACAGTGGAGGTTTAAACTTTATTATCCTCTCCTTGGGAACTTCACGATTATTACCAATCACATTAGTGCACTGAAAATGTAGCCAAAAAAAAAAAATTAGAAATCTAAGTTACACATGACTTCAGAAACTAAATGGGGGTACAGATTTTTATTTCCCCTCAATGAGATTAAAGTTCATTTCCTTCCGCAACTGCCCTAGCCACATTAAGGGCCCAACTTCCTTGTGGACTAATCAGACAGCAGGGATCTACAGCTGGAGTATGCCAAGTGTGATCTCCAAATACCAGTGTCTTTACCTGGAAATGTCACTAAAACAAAATCTTGAGCCTCACCCCAGACTTGCTGGGACAGAACTCTGAAAGCCATCAAACCCCCAGGTGATCCATCCACACCCATCAGTGAGGCACCACGCTTGGAAAGCGTTTAAAGACTGTTATTTTAACAACTGGTGATTTTTAAAAAGTCACTTAACACAGACACGCCAGGTGTTGATATGTCAGCCTCATTCCGCTCACCACCCTGGGAAGCGTGAGAACCGAGATGCCAGGCGCTGCTCCTGGCTGCCCCCAGGTGTTTTAACTTCCGAGAAAAAACAAGAGTGGCGTTACCTGTGCCTTCTCTCCTTCCATTTCCCTTCCAAGTTTCGCTGAGACAAAAATGCAGATGGTCCCTTCAGGCTGTTCCTCAGAGACTCAGCAGCGATTCCGCTGTAAATACAAGCCGTTTCGAGAATGACACCCAAGAGAAACAGCTTGGGGGGGGGGGGGGGTGCTCTCTGCCTTTCCATGAAAGCCATTCAGTCCCTGGAATACCCACTTAAGTATTGTTTCAGACGTGAGCAAACGGGCCCGGGAAGCCGAACCCCTCACCTCATTCAACCCAGCTAAGCACAATGACACCCCTTCTGCCCTTCTACCCCCAGTTCAGTCAGATACAAATAACACTCTTGGGAGTTCAGCCAGTTTCTTTCCTAAGAGCCTGCACCTCCTCCAAGCTGTTTCCAATCAATGACCTACCCACTCATCGGTAAAATGGCATTTCGTGAAGGGGGACAGTTCCCTTAACGACTTGGGACACTAGAGACGCCGCAGCATCACTTCTATTCACTCTCGGACTTGGGTTTCGACTTTGGTCCTTTATTGCACTCTGGTCTCCAACAACCAGAACTTAACCTGAAATTTAGGCAACATGGCAATCACAGCTTCTAAATAATTCCCCGACGTCTGCTGCGAAACCCTGCTCCTGCGAGCCAACCTGCCCTTCCTCCACGAGCACCCGTCGTCCTCACCGCTGACCCTGGAGCCAGGCGCACTCCCAGGCGGCGAAGCAAGGCAAAGCGCAGTAAGCGGACCAGACCCAGCCACCGCCCAATTTAACTCCAGGCCCCGCCCCTGACGCCCGACCTCGCGCAGACTCACAAGGCGACGTTACCCGCCCGCCGCTCCACCTGCGCCCGCCACACCTGCGCCTCCGGGCTCCCCGCTGCTGGGTGCGCCCTCTAGCGGGGGGCGCTCGGGGTCCGCCCTGCGTACCTGGATCCCTGCCGTGCGCCCGCCGCTGCGCTCCCGGCTCCCGGCTGAGGGCGTCGGTTTTGCGCCTCAACGGCCCGCGAGGCGCATGCGGCGAAGCCATTTTCTAGGTCTTCACGGGAACCTCGGCGGGGACCGCGGCTCCCGCGCGGGCTCGCGCTGCGGCCCCCCGCTCGGCCCGCCGCCGCGACTGTTGAGCCGAGGCGGCGCCGCAGCGAGCTGGGCCAAGCCCTGGAAACGGCCCTGGCCGACGGAAGGCGGCGGAGAAGCGGCCGCGCTCACCGCGAGCGCACGCCGCCACCTCTGCCGCCCACAGTCCTCCGGAACGTGCTTTGAGGGACTCCGGGCTGCATCAAGTTGGTCCCGTAACACCTGAACTCAGAAAACACGCTTTCTCAGCTCCCTCCACACCCCAACTCGTTTTTTTCTTTTTTAAACCCACGTGCTGTGGACGAAATTGACCTATTAGGCCTACTGTACCGTGACCTTGCCTGTAGAAATTCAACTTAACGCTTTATAAACTGTGCTTGCTTTTCCGTGTGCGATGGAAGGGCTTAAGGAGAATCAGAGGAGGATGGAAACATTACTACTTCAGTTTGTTTTTTGTTTTTTTGTTTGCTTGTTTGTTTTTCCATTTAATTTGAAAGGTAGAGTCGGAGACCTTGGATCTGCTAGTTCACTCCGGTAATGCCTGCACCAGAACTCAATCCCAGGTCTCTCATGTGGATGGCAGCGACCCAATTACTTGAGCTAACACCTGCAGACTCCAAAGGTATGCAGTAGCAAGAAACTGGAATTGCAACCCAGACACTCCAATACGGTTGCGGGCCTCGGAGCCAGGTCTCTCTTAACCTGTCCCCAAAAGTCCCTCCCCCTTAAAAAAAAAAAAATGGTGTAAAAAGCTTTAGGAATTTGCATATCACCTTGCTCAGGGGCCATTACTCGATATGGTTCCCATTTTACTATATGTGCTGCTGAAAGCACCAAAACTAGTATTTTAGAAGTCAAAAGCTGATACTTATTACCGAATTCACAGCCTAATAATATAAGCGTTATAGTGGAACTGGATTTTTCAAACGCTCAACACCCCTGGCAGCACATTGTGCTAATTGTTTAAGAATGCACCAAGATGAGTTACACAAAGCTTGTTTTTGGCGCTGGGATGCAGTGTTAATGTCACCCCACAGTGTAAGAGGCTTCTGTTGGCCTGGCTCAGCTGTAGTTTTAACCCACTGTCTTTGTTAAGAGAGCATACTCCTTACCACAGAATATAATTTAGGTAGAGACTTTCAAAGTAAGTAATAAACTTCTGGTCACATATTCAAAAGAATTGAGAGCAGGAACTCAAATATTGTACATCCAAGGTCACAGCAGCGTTGTTGACAGTAGCCAAAATGTGAAAACAGCCCAAATGCCCATCAATAGGAAAATGTCTTAAAAAAAAAAAAAAAGTGGTTTCTGCGTTATCCAGCCTCATGGGCATTATGGGACAGCGGCCTAGGCTGCTGCCTCAGACCTCACGTGCTGACGGGAGAGCAGGGGTCAAACACTGGCTACTCTGCTTCTGACCAGATTCCTGCTCGAGTGCCTGGGAGGCAGCAGATGATGTCCCAGGGAGGAGGTACCCAGAGGGAGCTCTGAGGCATCCAGCCCAGCCCTGGCTGGTGCAGATATTTGAGAAATGGTGGATGGAAGATTGCGCTAGCTCTCACTCCCTCTCCTGTGCCTTTCAAATACTCTTTTTTTTTTTTTACATGCCTACACATGCAATGGGATATTCAGTCTGTAAAAGGGGTTAAATCCTAACACTTGCTACAACATGGATGAGCCTTGATGACATTATGTTCAGTGCTATAACCAGTCACAAAAGGAAGAATATTCTGTGATTCCACACTTACATGAAGTTGGCAAATTCGTAGTGACAGGAAGTGGATTTTAGTTTGGGATGAAGGCAAAGTTCCCCTTCAATGATCATGCAACAAGGTGAATTTTTTTTTTTTTTTTTGACAGGCAGAGTGGACAGTAAGAGAGAGAGACAGAGAGAAAGGTCTTCCTTTGCCATTGGTTCACCCTCCAATGGCCGCCGCGGCAGGAGCCAGGTACTTATCCTGGTCTCCCATGGGGTGTAGGGCCCAAACACTTGGGCCATCCTCCACTGCACTCCCTGGCCACAGCAGAGAGCTGGCCTGGAAGAGGGGCAACCGGGACAGAATCCGGCGCCCCGACCGGAGGATTAGCCTAGTGAGCCACGGCGCTGGCTATGGTGAATATTCTTAATACCACTGACTAGTACACTTAAACATCATTAAAATGGTAAGCTTTATATATATATAATAATTTAAAAATTTTAAAGGAAATTTTCTAAGTTAACAAATGATCTATTCAGAATTCTTAGAGCTACAGTTGTTGCCTTAGAATTGTTGCTGGTTGATCCTTTTTTTTAACCTGACTTCCTCGTGACCAATTTCCTTCCAGATTTGTCCATTTCAGCGTTCTCCTGGTCTCCTACTCTCAGAGTCTGAAAATCCTCCTTGGCTCTGTCCACTTCCCACGTTTGGACAGTCACCAACTCTTGACCTCTTCAAGCTGCTGCTGCATCTGTTCTGTCCCCGTGGCCAATGCCTTAGCCTTTGTCACAGCTCAGCACACCTTCCTCCACCAGCTTTAAGTCCCAGTGAGATACAGCCCATGTTGTATCTTTCCAGAATAAGTTGGAAGCCAAATAGACTTTAACTGATTTAACTGTCACTCCTTTACCCTTGGAAATTTACTCATTCTTTCAGACTGTTGGGTTGTTGGGGTTTTTCTGTTGGGAAATAAAAATTAAGTGAGATTACCTATTTCATCAATATTTAGTAGTCCTTCAGTATCCAGGGGAGACAAGTTACAGGATCCCCCTCAGATAACAAAATCTGTGGGTACGCGTAATTTACCTACAGCCTCCCATACACTTCACACCATCTCTAGCTTACTGATAATACCTAATACAAAGTAAACAGTTCTGTATTATTCAGGGAATAACAACAAGGAGAAAAGTCTGTACATATTCAGTACAGATGCAATTTTTCCCACGTGCAGATGCAGAACCCACTGACATGGAGGACCAGCTAATAATGTGTCAGGTACTGACCCGAGGGGAAAAGGCAGATAAAGGATCTCTCCTGGGCCTCAACAGTCCTGCAGGTGTAGGTGTCCCTCATGCAATGGGTAACCAGAAGTCCTCCTGGGTGCCAGCTGGAGCCTGATGCTCATCATAGGATGAGACACTTGGAGGTCTTGGGAGAAGATGGTCATACTTTTGCACAACGGAGAAATGTAAATACTTTGTGGCCTGAAGGAAGATTGTGACAGATTAAAATTTACAGTCTTTGGGCCGGCATCATGGCACAGTGGGTTAAACTATTGCCTATGATGCTGGCACCCCATATGGGTGCCTATTCGAGTCCCAGCTGCTCTGTTTCCCATCCAGTTTCCTATTAATGCACCTAGGAAAATAGCAGAAGATGGCCCAAGTGCTTGAGCCTCTGCCATCCCCATGGGATACCCGGATGGAGTTCCAAGTTCCTGGCTTCCTCCTGGCCCAGCCTTGGCCATTGGGGCCATGTGCAGAGTGAACCAGAGAATTGAAGAGCTCTCTTGCGCTCTCTGTCTCTACTATGCCTTTCAAATAAATCTTAAAAAAAAGATAATGCAGATTTTCCATGAACTTGTTGAAGTACCCTCATGTTAAGTAACTCTTAAGCCCCACTACCTGGCGATGAGTCTCAGAGGACCTGGAAAAGTCAGACCATTGGTTTGTGTGAGGGATGTTGACGTCAGGTGCAGGTCCTTGTAATCAAGGCTCTTCGGTGCTGTTGTAACTGATCTAGCTAACGAAAATTCTATGCATCGTGGGGAAAAGTTTCGTGTGTTTTCTCTTGAGTCTTGATTGGAGCTATCATCCAATTAACCAATCTAAACCGCCCCTCTTCCAGACCAATCATAAGAACCGCCCCTTTTTACAGCCCACAAAACCATAGACAAGCAGATTTCAAAACTGCCTTCTTCAAGGAGTTTTTTGTTTTTTTTTTTTTGGTCATTGCTGGGCGATTTTTTTCTTTTGTATTTGCTTTAACTTCTCTGCTTTCTTTTGATAAACTACTTCTGCTTTACTTACTCTTCCTTGTCTGTGCTCCGCATTCTTCACAGACATGAGACACGAACCAGCAGAGAAAAAGAATTGTGACAACCACAGACTCCTGCAGCAGTGGGGTGGTGAGAAATTTTCCCGTATTTGTTTACTTAGAAATGTATTCAGTCAGGGTTGTTCTGACAATGAAATTCACTCAGGCCGCTTTAGAAAAGTAGGATTTTGGGGGCCGGCGCCATGGCTCACTTGGTTAATCCTCCGCCTGCGGCGCCAGCAACCTATATGGGTGCTGGGTTCTAGTCCTGGTTGCTCCTCTTCCAGTCTAGCTCTCTGCTGTGGTCTGGGAGGGCAGTGGAGGATGGCCCGGGTGATTGGGCGCCTGCACCCACGTGGGAGACCAGGAGGAAGCACCTGGCTCCTGGCTTCGGATCAGCACAGGGCTGGCTGTGGCGGCCACTTGGGGAGTAAACCAACAGAAGGAAGACCTTTCTCTCTCTCTCTCTCTCTCTCTCTCTCTCTCTCTCTCTAACTCGACCTGTCAAATTAAAGGAAAAAAAAGTAGGATTTTGAACCCTCACCTCATCTCTCGGAGAACTAAAGAATTCTATTCTTGCAGGCAGCCATGGAACAGACTCTGTCAACTCAGGGATTCTTTAGCAAAAATGCCTCCATCACCACCATGGGCCCAGCTGAAGCTCTGAATTGGATGTCAGAAGCTCAACCACAACTGTGCTTGTCAACAGGCTAATTCCTGGAAGTAGGGCCACTTTCATGCATAGTTCCCTTGTGAACCTAATTCTCTTATGCCTGTATCTAATGGGTTGAGCCTAGATTATTTTCAGCTGCCAGTCTTAGGATGTACAATATTTGAGGGGTTGGGATGGGGCTGCTTTTGGAGGAGGACAAATATGCTCGTATGGGAAATTACGGTTCCAAGCTACAAATGACGGTTTCTACCAGGGGAAATTATACCTTTGTGCCTCAGGGCACAGAAACCACAGGAAGAGTCAAGAAGAGCT